TTATCTAATTATATTTTTAACCAATTATATTTTTGGCCTTCACAACATCCTCTGGCAACAAGTTCCTACAGGTTGACTGTGCATTGTGTGAAGAAGGTATAGACTGAGTTGTGGAAGAGACAGGTGCATCTGCTCCTTCCTCTTCTGCCCTTTCTCACTGGTAACTCAGTTATTCTGGGGGAAAATATCTTGGAATTGCCTGATGCCCCCTAAAATGCAGTTTCATTACTATTAAAGATATGGAGAAAGGTTAGAAAGAAGAACTGAACATTTGAAACTATGGAAATTAATGTTAACATATGTCAGAATGCTGTGCGCATGGAGTTTGAAAGTATGAATCTATACTGAAAAGCTGCATTAAAAAGCTCTTTACATAGAATGTATATTAACAAAAGAAAAAGGGAAAGTTATTTTAATCTAAAAATTGTGGGCTTTAGGCTTGCAGGAAGCTTCACAGGAGGAAGTGTTTAGAGATCTTTTGAGACAATTTTGTCTAAATTTGATTCTCCACAATTAGTGGAAAAGGTGTTTTGTACTCTAGGTTTGATTTCAAAAAGCACAGCAGTTCAGCATATTAATACAGCATCAGGAACACCTCCAATATGTGCTTCTACCTGATTTTCTTTCCTTAGTATAAATAACCATCATGTATCATTTGTTTTAGAAGAAAGTATACCTCTTGCTGGTTTCAGCCACTGAGCTGCTTCATACTTGCTGCTGCTGCTCTCCCTACCCCCAAGGAGCTCCCTTTCAGATATAACATGATTTGGGGTTCAGTCCTAGTTTAGGGGAAGGTCATAGGGTAATGCTTGTTTCTATTCCGCAAGATAAACAGAATCATATTTTTAATCACACCCATGCTGGGCACTTATTCACCATGACCCCCATTTGTTTATGAAATGAAGGTGAGGGAGAAAATAGAGGTGAACCACACGGAATCTATATAGAACAGAATTCTCCAAAGCTGGCCCTCTTTTGCTATCCTGCAAATCCCTGCACCTAAAGCAGCAAACTGCCCTCCCTCTAGTAGCCAAATCAAGATGACTAAACCCTTTCCTGCTAACCTTTGGGTGTGGCCTATAGAACCAGCTACATTCATTTTAGATTGAAAGGTTGATCTAAAATATCAGTCTGAACTAGCAATGTGTATATAAAATCCATTGTTTTGATATAATATATGCAGCAAAAAAAAAAGTATACAAATTGATTGAATAGAATTGTTTCCAATATTTTTGTTTATAATATTTTGGGACTGAGTGCTTTCTCCACTGAAATAAAATAAGTCCTCACTCAGCAAAACCCACAAAATATATGTGCATGTAAAAAAAGCATACTGGCCAGCTGTCTCTGGTCAGGCTGTGGACTTTATCTCTGAAAGCAGAGTACACAAGTTGGACACTTCTCAGCATTTTTAGGGGCCAAATTCTGCCCTTTCAAATAAAAATTTTCATGGAGATCTGTGTGGCACTGGGTCAGTGTACCTTAGTTGGTAATAGTGACCTTTCATTCTGGAAGTTCCATTTTGATGGTTCTGTATACATTTGGTTAGTTTGACCAAACGTAATATTTTAAACCTATAATTTTGCCACATCTTTGCATTATTGTTAGACATTTTTGTTTCCAAAACAAGCTTCACACTGGGTTTCAAATACTGTACAGAACTGCCTACTAATTTCTTAATCTACAGTTGGTCATGTTACTAAGCGTGACTAGCATTAGCAGAAAATTAATTAATTCAGATAAACCCTAATTATTCAAATGGCTCGGGGGACATATCTGAAAATACTCGGGCTCCAGCAGCTAACTCCTAAACTTATTACTCAATAGTGAACTCAAGGGGCTGATCAGACACTCAGTTTCGTACATTCAACTCCCACTGAAGCCAAGGAGAGCTTGTGAAGGGGTCAACTCACTGGTGGCCCCTCTTTATGGCTAGGCATGGCATAGCAGCTCTCTTTCCACTGGGTGTCTCCTGTCAATGGCTGCTCTGCCTCTATAGTAGCCTGCTGCTTCCTGTGATTTTGCCCTCCAGCCAGGTCACTTTAAATTCTCTCCCATTCTGGGGCAGTCTATGACCAATAAGCAAGGGGAATTAACTCAAATAGACTGACTTAGTAAAATACAGAAGGGAATGACTCCCTCTCAGGGTGCATCAAGATCTGGCCTTCCCTTCCTTCAGGGAGGGATCGTCAAACAGTATTGTCCGGGAAGCTCCTGTCTTAAGTCATCCCTCTCCACAGGAGCTAAAGGTCCATTCTCTTCCCTGGTCTGCCAACAAGTGAGCTGCTCTGCTTTCCTTTTAAGCTCCTCTTCCAGTCTCTCCAAGTCTTAACCCTTAACCCTTTGTTGTCCACTGTTGGGTTTGTATATCCCATCACAGAGGCTGCACATGGGCTTCTGATGAAATGGTCAGATTCTTACACAATAGTTAGAACTAGAAATAGGCCTGGACCAAACCTCGATCTCTGAACTTCCCTGAACAAGAGGATGTTCAGAATCTGAACCCAGATTTGGATTTGAATGTTGCATTTGGACCCTAGTTTTATACATTTTGGGGGGAAATCTGAAAACGTCTGAATCTTGAGATGATCAGATTCCAGATCTAAATGCTGTAGTTTGAGCCTATCTGTAGTTACAATATATGTCGGACATTTTGAGGGAGACACAGATCATATAGATCTTGCCATTGCAATTTTAACTATGGGAATTTCCTGACTTTAAAGCGCTTGATCTTGCAACCTTAATGATGCATTAATGCTAATTTTCTTAGATTTCTTTAAGGAAAATGAATTTGAAAAGGTGTGTGGAGGGAAGGGGGAAGGAGGAGGGAGAAGAAATCTAGAACTAATCATTTTGTGGAGCTTGTAAATTCCTTCCTCCAAGGCTATCATCTTGTAGATGATACAAGTGCTGCTTCTTTGAGCGAAGAAGCACAGAACTAAGAAGCTGAACACTTTACAAGCCTGTATGTGTAGCTTTAAGATTGCCTAGTGAGTATGCTCAATACACAATTTTCAATCATATACACCTCTACCTCGATATAACGCTGTCCTCGGGAGCCAAAAAATCTTACCACATTATAGGTGAAACCGCGTTATATCGAACTTGCTTTGATCCACCGGAGTGCGCAGCCCCACCCCCCTGGAGCACTGCTTTACCGCGTTCTATCCGAATTCGTGTTATATCGGGTCATGTTATATCGGGGTAGAGGTGTATCTGTGAAACCAAAGTCATTATTTTTCAAACCAAAGGGATATATTTTGCCATCACTTATAACCTATTCAATCCCACTGATGTCTGGTGTACATGGCACATACTATAAATGAGTGTCCAATCTGGATGAAAGGCGCTGGCCCTCACTGAGGGTTATGGTCATGTTAAATTTCAGTCTTCAAACTTAAGACATTTTTTCTCTACCCCATTCTAAAAAGGTCTGGTTATAGTTTGGAAGGTTTCTTTTATATAGGAAAAAATAGACATCTCCGCTAAACTCAAAAGTGGATAAAGAAAATTTGCTAAACTTTAAAAAAAATCACTTTTGGACAGAGACTAGGCCCCAAAGAATAATAATTTAGAAAGGCATTATAAAGAGAAAACAGGAAAGAGTATGATTGATTGAAATTATTAGACAATCTTAAATATAGTGGGCACCAGCAATTGTCTCCTGTTGTATATACTATACATATGCTAGTTAATGCAATATATAAAATATGTCTCATATCCTAACTGACATATATTTATTACACCATTATCTATAATAAAATTCTATTTTCTTTGTTTTCTCTCACTTATTCTTGAAAACTTGTGAAAAATGGAAAATATAGGATCAAGATTCTCTCTTTTCCAACTGAAATACTATATTAATAGAGCATGATGATCTGTTCATCAGTTCATGAATTCCACGTCCTGCATGGAGTGTCATGCAACCATATAATCGCTCTGAATGCAAAGTTTTGGGGTCACTTATTCAGCTGTAAAATAGTTAAGTCAGACAGATCCCACTACATTAAATCTGAGGAGACTAAAACAATTATGATTCCATCAAAGGTTGGCTATTGCTTTCTGCTATGTGTGCATTAGGCACCTTCACCTTCTGGAATGCCGGACACTGAAATGTAAACCAAAAAAACAAAAGAAAGAAAGACTATTGCTACTTTTTCAAATTTCAACTCAACTTTGTGCTTTTATCCCCTCTATTCACATACATAAAATGTATACATCAGTGACTGGTTTCATATTCTCTTGCAAAGGAAAGTAGTATACAAAGACCTTCAGAATTTTTGTAATTTGACAATTTTTACCTAAAACAAACCTTTTCAAAGAAGCATCAACCCAAATGCTGGGAACTGGTTAATAGAATGTCTGTGATCTTTGGAGAGTGGCAACATTCTAGTGGATCATAAAACAAGCAAGATTTTTGGGATTAAGTGTGGGAGTTGTCCTAACCCCGTGGCTCCTGGGATTTCCTGAGGAATTGCTCCTCCCTTCAGAAGAGACTGGAGTATCCATGCTGTTTCTCTGGTCCCTCAAGAGTTCTGCTATTATTGGCTTTGTATCCCAATGGTGACTGCTCATAAGCAGCCATAGAGAGGGCCCCACGGGAACTAATACATCTTCCAACAGTACAAACATTCTGCTGAATATCCATGAGGAAATCCTACAGGACAACACAAAATGGTAATACAGTATGGCCAGTCCCCTTCTCCTCCCCCTAAAGCTTACCACAGATAACCCATTAGGTGAGGAGACATGGATATGTAGTGAACCATTCGGATGATGCAGGCATGTATATGTAGTGAACACTCATCTACTGATAAGGTAGAATATAACAGCTGTTCTGTAACATCACACAACAGATTTTTAGGAGGGAAAATTAGAAAAGGCTATCTAACTGAAAATTCAGGGAAAGTTTAGGTAGGTAGAAAATAACAACCCAGTATTCTAGGGTTACAATCTAACAGTGTGGAAAGCTCTATGGAACTATAATGATCACTTCTCACCTGAAACAGCAGCTCAGTACCTTCTTTTAACCATGCTAGGATATTATTTCATTGCTGATCCAAATAGAAGAGTGCCACTTACAACTGGGTTTTCTTTAGAGACTCCCATCCAAGTACTGTGCAGACCGGACTCTATGTATCTTGAGAGAGAGAGAAAGAAAAGAAAACCCAAGGTAATACAGATGCAAAGCTACTAATAATGTAGTATTACTACTACTAATAATAATAATACTAGCAAAGGACTCACCCTACAGAGACAGTTGCCACTGCTGAAACATAATGGCCCTGATCCTTGGGTCTGTCCAACCAGCCTGTGGACCTGGGTTTGGGCAAAGGTGTTTGAAAGCTACACTTGCATTGCTCTGTTCTTCAGAGTTGTCAGAGGTTGATTCAACCCACAGGATTACTTAGAACAGCCTCAGCTCATAGAGCTATGCCAGTTTACACCATCGAGGATTTGGCACTAATGTAAAGTGCATACTATAAGACCATAAAGTAAGAACTTAAGAATGGGCATACAGTGGTTCATCTAGCTCAGTATCCTGTCCCTGACAGTGACCAGTGCCAGATGCTTTAGTGGGAATGAATAGAACAGGGCAATTTTGATTGATCCATCCCCTGTAGTCCACTCCCAGCCCCAGCTTCGGGCCATTGAAGGTTTAGTGGCACTGGGAGTATGGGCTTGTGTCCCTGGCATGGGCGACGGGTGAACTGCAGGTTCAGGGAGGCTAGTCGCTGGCCCGGCCTGCCCCTTCTTCTACCTGGGGCCCCACTCTTCCTGCCCCCCTTCCTCCACCGGAGCCCAGAGCCACCCCCCACCCCTGTGGCCACCAGCTTACCCCCAGCCCCAGGCTGCCTGAGTGCCTCCAGCCCCGGAGTGCTGGGTGGGCAATGTGGCCCCAGCCCCAGAGTTCTGGGCAGGCAGGAGGTGCCCCCCCCCCGCAGCCCTGGAGTGCTGGGCAGGCGGGCAGCGTGGCCCCCAGAGCCTCCAGCCCCCGAGCACTGGGTGGGCAGGCAGGTGCCGTGGCCACCAGCGCTCCCAGCCCCTGCGCACCAGGTGGTTGGCACAAGCTCTGGCTCCAGCAGCCCGGAGTCCTGGGCTAAAGGCCGGCCCCCACTAGCCTCAGCCCCAGCCCGTGGCCCCGGCAACAGGGGAAGAGCCGCAGTCTGCACTGGCAGAAAGCAGGAGGGGGCCTGAGGGTGGAGTGTGGGTGGGGCCAGGTCATGGACTTATCCTCCATGAATTTATCTAGTTCTTCTTTGGATCCAGTTACACTTTTGGTCTTCACAACAATCCATGGCAATGAGGTTTACAGGTTGACTGTGCACTGCGTGAAGAAATACTTCCTTTAGTTTGTTTTAAACCCATTGCCTATTAATTTCACTCGGTGGCCCCTAGTTCTCGTGTTATGTGAAGGGGTAAATAACACTTCCCTATCCACATTCTCCACAACAGTCACAACTTTATAGACCTCTATCACATCCCCCCTTAGTTGTTTCTTTTCTTAGCTGAACAGTCCTACTTTTTAAAATTTCTCCTCATATGGAAGCTGTTCCATATATCCCCAATATTTTTGTTGCCCTTTTCTGTATCTTTTCCAATTCTAATATATATTTTTTTAAGATAGGTGACCAGAACGGCATACAGTATTCAAGTTATGGGCATGCCATCAAGTGACACTACAGTATCTGCTGGATTTTGTTATTTGTTAACAAATCTAATTTTTCTTAGTTATCGGTTTCACTCATCTATGACTGTCAGAACAGAATGACTCTTGTCCACCTGACATTTCTTAAAAAGGCAGTTTATGTGGTCTAGATTCATAGCCCTTCCCAGTCTCCATCCACCACTGATCTAATAACGTGATGCTCTGCATATGGGAGTGTACTCTTCTTTGAAAATGTCTTATATACCACCCATAATTGCTTTTGTAGGAGTTTGAAAATTGACTCCATCTTAAATGTTGGTCTGATGGTGTAGTACAAACATGCAGTATTTTCAATATCTATCTACTGTGTCTCATGTTGGACTTTATTTCCGAAGTTCCATAGTGGTAGTTACAGTCCCATAATGATTATGGAGTTTCATCAATTTTAATCATGGGAAATTGTAATCCAATCTTTGTGAAAGTAGAGTAAATATCCCTACTTAGTATTTAAAACAATAAAAGCTAAGATTTCTGAGCAGAGCTCAAATGCTGTATTCCAAATGGTTCCAACTTCAATATAAAAAAATACTTTGACAAATTATTTTATTTACATACTGAAAACATGAATGTTTTGGACATATTTCTATATTTTATATCTATAAGCATCAGCATTGTATTTTTTTTCCCAAATGTGCATATGATGTTGCAAGGAGCATGCAGTCGTTCTTCTCTCTGCAGAATGTAGATATAGGTTTTTCTTTACTTGCAATTTTGTGCATCTGCATTTAGTGTTCATGAAAGCTGCTACGTGGACAACCCTTCCTCATCCTGCCCCACCTATTTTCTTTAATCCTGGCTTGGAGGAACCACTGGTAGGGGAGAGAAGGTAGTTCAATTTCCATGCCTAGTCAATCATGGACTTCCTCACTGAGATTGCCCACAAGCCTATAAAATAGTGACATTTCTGGTGGTGTTTTTGTTTGTTTGTTTGTTTGTTTGTTTGGGGAGAGGAGAGGGGAGTGAGTGAGAGATGTGCACACCTGCTCACTGGGAAATGGCTTGAGAGTGTATAGTTGTTGACTAGGAGTAATATCCTTTTATGATTATATGCAGAAAACTCTCTCTAAAATCAGTTGCCCAAATTCTGGTTCTATTTAAATTGACAGAAGCTGTCCTCTGAACTTAATTGGAACCAGGATTTGTCTCAAATAGAATTTTTCCTAGGAAACAATCTAAAAATCAGGCCCTAACAGATTTTTTAAAAATTCAGTCTTTAAAATAGGTTTACACGGACTATAATCATGCTTAATAATTTCAACCTAACATTTATATTTTGTAAGGACAGATTCAGAAAAAAATTTCTGATATCCGTATTCATCTACCTCACTTGTAAATTTTAAGTCACTGTCACAACCAGTCACAATCAAGCACTGAGGCAGCATTTTAACATATCATTTTGTGGAGGAGATATTACCTCATAACTATATGTAGAATTCCAGTCTGCATATTTCTGCATTGTTTTTAAAATCTGGATTTAAAATCTGGAAAAATAAATGGAATATTTATACACTCTCCAGACCCTGACATCTTCTACAGAAAGTCTGATCCTGCTCCAATCAGATTTTTGCCATTGAGTTCAAGGGGGACAGGACTGGGCCCTTACACTAGACAGTCTAGTCAGCTGTTCAAATCACATAGCTCAGTGTTCCTTTTGCCCAATCTTCTCAAGAGACAACACTAACACATAAAGAGACCGACTGTGGAGGATATAGAAATGCAGTAATGTGAGGTGCCTACAGGCAGAAAATGGCAAAGAATCAGGATGGGTCAAATGAAACATATGTCAAAACACTTCTGAATAACAACTAGAAAAGTAAATATTATTAAATGCTGTATGCTTAAAGGGCTGTTGACATATCATGGAAACCATTCTCTAACAAAACGTTTCTGCTGAAGTATCAAATATTTTCTGTATTCTCTCATTCTTGATTACTGAATAAAAAGAAGCTCTTTTTTACTTAGGACCTGTCTACACCATGCAGCTTTTAGCGACAAGGCTGTGTTGACCCAGCCTTGTTGCTAAAAGTCAGCGTGTATAAACGCTCTTTGTCAGCACTTTTGCCAACAAAATACTTCCAGCTCCGCGAGCACTCCTGCCGACAAAGCCACGTTCACACTGCCACTTGCATCGGCAAAGCTTTTGTCTTTCGTGCAGGGCCGGCTCTGACTTTTTTGCCGCCCCAGGCAAAAAAGCCTCCTGCCGCCCCTCCCCCCCCCCCGGCGGGGAGGGCGGCAGGGGAGGGCGGCAAGCCCGGCTGCGGCCCCGCTCTCCCTGGCCGGCCGGAGCGCCGGGAGGAGGGCAGAGAGCCCGGCCGGGGCCCCGCTCTCCCCGACTGGCCAGAGCGCCGGGGGAGGGCGGTGAGCCCAGCTGCGGCCCCGCTCTCCCTGGCCGGCCGGAGCGCCGGGAGGAGGGCAGAGAGCCCGGCCGGGGCCCCGCTCTCCCCGACTGGCCAGAGCGCCGGGGGAGGGCGGTGAGCCCAGCTGCGGCCCCGCTCTCCCCAGGTGAGCGCCGCCCCCCTCCAGGTGCCGCCCCAAGCACATGCTTGGAGGGCTGGTGCCTGGAGCCGGCCCTGCTTTCGCGGCGGGGCTTTTTTAAGTACCCGTGAAAGACAATAGTTTTGTCGACAACTTTGCAGTGTAGACATACCCTTAGAAGTTCATTTGTTCCTGCAGCTCATTCCTTATTTGCAGTCTCTTTACTACAAATCATTTCAGCAACTAAGTCTGATATCCCAGAGGATTGTGTTGTCTATCTAAATATTTCTGACACACCTACCCAAGAGTTACTTGGCAAAATATCTAGGCACAGTGGGTAAAATATATTCCTCTGTAAAAGGGGCTACCCAAGGTCTCTACATCACTTAAGATATGCTTAAACCCTACTAATGGAATAGGAAATATATGTAAGGATTAATTAAGGATAGCAATGGAATATACTTTAAGGATAAAAATACCTACTTGGTTTCTGTTGCCTCATGATAAGATCATGCATACCTCTGTATACAAGTAAGCTGAAAGATTCTCATTGACTTCAGTGAGCTTTGGAACAGGTCCATAATGTATGTGGCTACTAGAATCTTTGCTTCTTCATTCTCTCACAGAGATACAAACTGTGGAGAAAAAGTATATGAATTAACGTTGATGTAATCACAACTTAGATGTAATAAACTATTTCTTTGATAGCACAAACTGAACACTTGTATTTCACTTGTATTTCATTGTATAGATCAAGGTTGATAATACTTTAAATTGGTCTAAATAGAGGGGCAACCTCTTATGACTGTATACGGTAATAACTGCAAACAAAACTGATACAGACTGATACTTAATATCTTGAGTGGTTTATGGTTCAAACAAATTCCCTCCTGTTGCACCATAAATCTCCTATTTTAACAACTGCAGTATAGAGACAGCTATCAGAATATACATTACAACACACCATTGCTACCGCCTAGTCTAACTGGGACTTTCTTGAGGCTGTATGGGACAGTAACAACACATTGAATATACAACTACATTGAACACAAACAAAATATTTTACAATTTTTATAATTTTGTAGGGGGTGATCATTCAGTCATTCATTTGTAAAACTCCCTTTGTTTATAATATGTAACAGGACTTCATTGGAAGGAAATGATTGGTGTAGCACTCAGAAAAAGTCATTTCACATAGCAGTTCCAATACTAGGTTAACATTACACTTCATTGTAACTTGTGTGCAGTAAAGGATTATTCTTTAAACATGCTTATTTCTTCAACAGGTATCAATTTAAATACATACTTCAATATGCATACGGTTTGGTGTGCTGGACATTAATTCTTCTGGCAAGACTGTTTCTGTTACTGTAGCTCTGTACAACAGAGCCTTTGTTAAGCTCTCAGAGGAGATGTTTGTGCTATGTTAAGGATCGCTTCCTGTGTAGGTGTTCTTCCAATGCCTCAAAAATGTAATCCATGTAAACACAAATTAAAGAAAATGAAAGTGCAAGGGCTTCTGAACAATACTCAACCCCCCCCCAGAAACAACCATCAGAACAAGGATAGCATTATTTGTTTGTTTCCCACCTTTTCAGGCCAAAGCAAGTCTCTTGCTCTCAATTGGTTAAAAAAACCCAAAAGATCCATTTTACACGTGGAGGATGAGCACTTCCTCTACAAACAGACAGGGTGGACAAGGGGTCTCATTGCAGCTGGATCCAGCTCTTTTGAAGTCAATGGGAGTTTTTCCATTGACTTCAATGGGGGTTATCTCATGTCCCAGGAGGGGGAATATAACAGGAGCACATTAGAGAGCCTCTGCTGTGGGCAAGATGGGGTGCATCAGGTAGTCTCAGAGGTGAGGAGGAGCTAGGGTGACCAGATGTCCCGATTTTATAGGGACAGTCCTGATATTTGGGGTTTTTTCTTATATAGGCTCCTCTTACCTTCCACCCCCTGTCCCGATTTTTCACACTTCCTGTCTGGTCACCCTAGGAGGAGCAGGAAGACACTGTGTCTGGTGGGATGTGAGGGTGTGATGGGTTCAGAATATGAACATTCAGGAAAAATTACTGCTAGTATAAGTTATCCCGGGGTCAAATCCTTCTTGCCTTGCTCACACAAGACGTCAGTGGAACTGCCTGTGTGAGCAAGGCAAGTAAACTTTGGCTCCTCAAGTGTACCTTCTTTTAAATGATCACTACTGAACTTGAACATGAATTAACACACTCATTTGTTACACAGACAATATTTGAAGTGCATTTACCAGAAGAAGACGCAGTCAGTAGTTGTTTACTGACTATTGATGGGGCCTGCTTCTTCAGCCCAATATCTGCACTTGGAGTAACTACAGCAGTGTTGGAGTGACTCCTCCTGGATCTGAATCCTTCAAGTTCCTTGCTTTTCTTGTGGCCATTGAACAACACCAACCCTTCTTAGATGTCCTAGTCTAGAGGATGGGAAGGAAAATGACTGTAAAATAGTGACTTCTCCCTCAGTTGCTTCCCTCTGGTGGCTGGTCTACTTTGACAATAACAGTCTACTATTGCTACCAGTTATCCCATTAGCTCAGCTGGTGTAGCGATGTGGGAATCCAGTATGATGCCACACAATGGAATTTCTCATTTTGCTGTTTGTTTGTTTTTTACCTAGGAGATCCATACAGTGATATAGTCTTTAATTACACTATTGTAATTAAACTATTCTCTTTGTTTTTCAGAGTCCTAGCCTCATTCAGTGCTCAAGAGACTCAGAATGAGGCAGAGGTTTCCAAAGACAGAGAGGCTGTTCTTTTGTACTTAAGACACAGGATGGGGATCCAGTAGAGCATGGTTCTAAACTTGGCTCTGCCACAGATTTCTCATGTGGATATAGGGCAAGACTAGCATAATGTCTGTGCACAAGGGGATCAAATTAAGTTTGCATGGCACAACCTTAATTCTGGCATTTCCTAACTTTTGAGTACTTGACCTTGCCCCTTAATGTTCTTTCAGCATGTTTTTTTTATATGTAATGTGTATATTGTTCCTACGGAACCTATAAATCAGATATTATTTGCATATAAATTTCTCTACATATATAGGGTATTTATGTATCATGCATGGATGGACAGAACATTCAAGAGGATTTTTCTTCTCTTCCCAGAGGAATCTCATGAGAACTATTTTTCTGCTTTTACCAGAGTCAGCCACTTCCCATGTGCCCCCTTGTGGCTGGAGGTCACTCTGCACCACCCTGCCTCGATTTCCCTTTGTGGACTTCTCAAAACTCCAGATCATAGTCCTAAAGGTAATTAAAACAACTTCTTGGAGACCAGTTTATTTAGTTTTGACACTCATTGGCCCTCCAGGCCCCAAGTCCAGTAAATGTCTCTCTTAGATAAGGAGTCCCCAGTCCTCCTTCTGGGATGAGCTGATGCTGTTTCCTCCCCCCACTCTCCCACTCCAGTTTTCTGCTGCTCTTATAGAGGAATCAGCTGACCTCTGCTCAGGTGCACCTACTTAGTAACTAGGCTTGGCTGGCCCTAGGCCTCTAGACCTTAAAAGGAAAGTCACCCTGTTATATTGTTCCAACTCAAAATATTACTAATATCTTAATAGGACATTTGCCAAATACACCTCTACCCCGATATAACTCTGTCCTCGAGAGCCAAAAAATCTTATAGGTGAAACTGCATTATATCAAACTTGCTTTGATCCACTGGAGTTCACAGCCCCCCACACCCCCCCGGAGTGCTGCTTTACCGAGTTATATCCGAATTCATATTATATCGGGTCACGTTATATCGAGGTAGAGGTGTACCAGCTATCTAGATTGCAAGCTTTTCAAGGCAGGAGTCCCAGGGGTATTCAGTGCCTCATATAATTCACAGATTTGAAGGCTAGAAGGGACCAGTGTGATCATCTAGTCTTGACCTCCTGTGTAGCACAGGCCACAGAACTTCCCCAGAATAATTCCTACAGCATAACTTTTAGGAAAATGTCAATCCTGAGTTAAAAATTGTCCATGATAGAAAATCCACCACTACTCTTGATAAATTGTTCCAATGGTTAATTACTCAATGGAGTTCTGATCCCTGATTGGAACCCCTAGATGCTACCATAGTGCAAACAGCAAATGACAATAATAATAATTTATAATAATTGACATTATTTCCTCTCACTTTGATTTATTTAGAAGACATTAACACATTTAAACACTTAAAAAGAAGTTCTTCATTCTTTGAAAATATTGGTGGTTTGGTCGAAAATAAATTTAAAAAAATAATAATGTGCTGAAGGAGCCAACACTGTCCCATATTTTGTAATATTCTTTACAAATTACAAATATTCTTAAACACTTGAATAATACATCTTTGTAGCTGGGGACAGGATATGAAATAACCTAACAAATTACACCTCTACCCCAATATAACTCTGTCCTCGGGAGCCAAAAAATCTTACTGCGTTATAGATGAAAACGCATTATATCAAACTTGCTTTGATCCACGGGAGTGCACAGCCCCGCCCACCCGGAGCGCTGCTGTACTGCGTTATATCCGAATTCGTGTTATATCGGGTCGCGTTATATTGGGGTAGAGGTGTACAGCTCTGCATTTGAACCAAGATTTTGTATTTGTTAAGTTCTCCTAGATGTACAGGTGTGGTTCCCATACTCAGTGCAGAGAAAGCAGACTTTCCCTCTACCTACAGTTTTGCTTTTAATTAATAAAATGTGGCCAGACTCACTGATTCCTTTAGTCACCCTAAATAGTATGTCATCCCACCAGTTCCAGTGTCTCCTGGGGGATTACTCAAATTGTAAGGTCCTGAGTAATGTTATCACAGTCTAGCCTGGATTCATTTGAAAAGGACTAGAGTGGCTGTGGAAGGCCACACAGAAAGCTGTGGGGGGAAGTAACCATTTCCTAATAGAATTACTAAATAATTTAAACCACAGACAATATATAATGAAGAGAAGAGGAAAATACTCCACCAAAATTTAGTCATTAGGCAGGTTGCTTGGTGGTGGCCTTGGGAAGAAGTACTCTCTCTCATCTCTCTATAAATAAACCACTGATCACCTATGATTCCATGTGTGATCTGCCAGGTTTCTTTTCATCTACACCCCAATAGCCTTCATCCACAAAGTGGGATTACCCACGGGATGCAGCAGTAAGGGAAAGACCCTGGGATTCCTCGTGCATTATAAAACACTCTGTGTTCCGTTCCTCCCACACAAAACGTAAGCTCCAGAGATCTCCCTTTGACAATATGGCTGGCTACGTTGTGAAACCAGGATCCTGTAGATTGGAGTGGAAAGAGCGGGAGGGGCTGATATAACTTATGTTGAGCTGCCTATGAAAACAGGGAAGAGACACCCCAACGTGTTTACTTTTTCTTGAAAGAAGTACAGTACACTTACTGCACCTCCTAAGGGGCTGTGCCAACTTGGCACTGCCAAGAAGCCTGGACAACAGCCTGGTGAGGGGCAGGAGAAGGGGGCAGTCGGGAGGGGACCAGGGATTGGTGCTGTGGGAGGTGGGGCCCAACAGAAGTGGGAATGGGGGGCAGGAGGGGAATGGGGGGCGGAAATGAGGCAGGCAGTAGTGGAGGTGGGGAGAGGAGTGGGCGCTGGAGAGGGAGCGGCTGGG